CGTCACGTCCGGCCTCCCCGCGGGCATGCTGGGAGCTGTAGTCCGCCGGGGAGGGCGCAGGCCCACGCGTGCTCCCGGCTACCGGGCCCTGAATGCGGGGGCTGTGCGAACAGGAGCTCTTATCTCCCTTCACTTAATGTATGTTGAATTTAATGAAACATTCCCTCCTGCCAGCATGCCTCTCCGTAGCATCCTGTACTCTCTCCTCCATCTTTTGTATCTTTACCTCCTTCCTGCAGTTTTGACCTCCCAGCCTCCGTGGGAGCGTTCCGCACGCGGGACCCTGTGGCTGGGGATGGACACGCGTTCCCCACCGGCAGCCCCCGCGCAGCCGGCAGGACGAGCACGGGCAGCTCTTGGGCGCACGAGGCCCGAGGGAAGAGCGAGGCGCCTCGGCGGGAGCCCCCGAGTCCGCACGGAGCCAGTCCAAGATGGCCCTATGGTTCAACACTCACATGCAGCCCTCCAAAGCAGGTGGATGAAGCTCTTCACTGGTGTATATTTCTGCTGCTAAATTAATTCATCCAGGGAGGAGGATTTTGTGATAATGGGGAGCTTACTATGTATGCTTACTCATAAAGGGATACAGCAGGACAGATTACAAGGGAAATTCTTAGAATGCACTAGAGATTTTTTTTTCCTAACAGTAGGAAAAAAACCATAAAGTTGAATGTCCTACATTTGCTCCTAGCCCTTGCTGTTCTTCCAGCAAGGAACTGTGATAATATAAAAAGACAACAACTCTGTAGCAACAAGAAAACCAGAAAATTCATGCACCTCATAAATTTTGAAATGAAATAGAAAAACAAAACAGTGGCAGCAACAAAAATGCAACCTCGGGAATCTTTTATCTCTTGGGAAATTAATCTGGGGGGAAAATGTAGCTTAAAGAAGTTAGCATTTCCTTAATAAAATGATAGTAAAAGGGTAAACTTTTCAATGCAGAGGAAAGATAGGAATTGTATGAATAAAGTAGCAAAAGAAAATCTCGTGTTCTTCAGTAACCTCCAAGACATGAAAGTCACATAGAGAAAATAGGTGAAGTAATGAAGGACATATATCAAAAGCAGCACAAAGCACAAAAAGATGGCGTATGGATTCAGAAAAGCCTGAGCAAAGAAATGAGATCCAACCAGTAAGGGACACGATGGCAGCATTCTACACAATATATTAAGAAGGCGCTTCAAGATTTTTATTTATTTACTTACTATCTAGAGCAGAAGATGATTAACAGAGTAATTCAAAGAATGTAAGGTGGCATTTTTTTTCCTCAATTTGGTGTAATCATAGCATAACAAACTATTAAAGAATATAAACTCAGGCTAGAATAAGGAAAGCTGAGGTTACAGAGTACTCACATTAAATTATTTTTCCCCAGTCTGATATTTTGAACACAGATGAAAAATAACCCTTGAGTACTTAGGGAACTGGCTGAACAAATTTCAGACCCATTAGTAGCCATCTATATAGGAACGTATGAACAATTAATGAGGTTCCAGAAGACTGATAGTTTGTCCATTCCTCAAATTTCTTTCAAGGGGAATAAAGGGAGGACAGAACACAAACAGGAATTTATAGTTAAGCTATCTAATCAACTAAAGCAAGTACTCAAAAAAAATGAGTAACAGAAACCATGAATTTGTAATTAAGGGTAGGTATTTCAAGCAATCATATTCCTTCAATGCAAAGGTAAGAGAAGTGAGAAGTGGTGCATGAAGTTCAAGTTCCAGAATCCACCTGGCATTAACAAAACTGCTAATACTTCCACATGTAAACCAGGGAAGCAAAATGAGGTGGAACTTCAGTGCAGTGGGTGCAAATTTTCTCGGAAATAGCACTCAATTGTTCAAAGAGGAATGCCATATTTTTGGCATTTTCCCAGAAAGCTTCCCACGGCCAATATTATCCACCAGTTTCCTAGATAATCCAAATAATGTACTATAATCCTTTTTATTATTATAAACAGATTACTTAGAGGTGGAAGAAGCTGCTAGAAAAAAAAATGTATATCAGAATAATCCAGAAAACCAGACATAAAATCTTAGGTAGTGGGAGAATGAAATTCAATAATGACACACGCAATACAGCTACTGATTTGGAGTGACTAGGTAATATATCTCTGTTATAGTGGAAAACGAGGTGCATATAAGTTGACAATCATCTATTACTTAAAAAAAAAAAAAGTATTATAATGAGATGGGTGAATTGGAATTTCATCCATAAAACATATCCACCTCAGGGGCTTAGATGAGCATAACCGTTGCACCTCAGCTGGCACTGCATGCTGCACTGCACTGCACGACAGCCCCTGCCCACACAAAGGGCATGAAGGCAGAAGGATGGGGGATAGGCAATAAAAAAAGTCTATGAGAAAAGACTGAATGAACAATCTGGGGTTGTCGTGCATATAGAAAACAAGGGAATTAAATTGTTTTGTTTATTTGTGAATAGGGCAAGCAGTTTGGCTCCAATTGCAGCAAGTTTTAGTGGGATGCTACAAACAGCTTTCTAGAGGCAAGCACAGTTGAACACTAGAGAAGATTACCTGGAGTTTCCAGCACTGGAGCCCCTTATACACCACTCAGGAACATTTGTCAGAATGAATTTTACATGGTTGAGCCCATTGAGGGATAAAGAGAAGCAGTAGATGACCTCTTGAAAACTAGTCGAACCTCATTTGTTAACCCATGCTGTGGAAATTAGATGGAATTCAGTTCATTTTTTATGAACACGAAACACTTACCAAGAAGTGTCCTTAGTGAAAAGTGTTAATTCAGATCAAGATATAAATGAAAAGTGACTTAAACTTGTGTACAGATCCCCTACAATTATTTTCATTCTAGGCATCCACAATGGGACGGGTATAGTTTACCTAATTAAGTTACGACATTACACGTAGTGACCGCATCTCCAAAATTCTGTATTACCTAAGCTGCAGCTTTCTGTACCAACCTCAGTTTGAATATACAGTATCACAGCTGCAAGATACTTGATAAGTATCACCTGGAAAGTCTGGTCTCCCCTACTTTCCCTGTCTGCCTTCCTGGAGATCTCATGATGCACTGACTCAACTAGAAGCAGTTTTCAATATACAACATGGCCATTTAGTCTTTCTCCAAAGTCTTCATCAGATAAGGATGTTATATTCCCATATATGAACATCTCCTTTTATATTGCTGACACTATGAAAATCCAGTGTAAAAATATATATAACCCAAGATAAGACAGTGAGAAACTCTGAGATCTTTGGGAAATACAGTCAAACTGAAGCTGTTCATTGCTACAGATAGATCCCAAATACACTAAAATATTCCTGCTTTTCCCCCCACCACCCCTACTCAGCCACACAGTTTAAGACTTGGCACAACCTTTTTATCTGACTGTTGTTTTAGGAATCACCCAAGTATTGGAAAGTGTTTATATGTCCAATGTAGCATTTCCAGGAAAAGTTTCAAGCCACCTAGTGGCCTAAATGCCACTTGTTACAAACATTTCAGATTACATGAAGATCCTCCATATCTAAAAATAAAACAGAAAGTACAAGTTTCATAGATTTTGCATATATTTAAGATATAAATACTAATTTGTTTGCACAGTACATCCTTTAACACAATCTCAGAAATCAAAAATGGGGAAGGGAATTTTCTGTGAAACATTCAAACTGTTAACAGAAGGAATATTCAAGTGTCCCTTTATGACAGAAAGAAATTGAGGGAGGAAAATACGAATCTGTGATCTGAATTCAGAATAAATCAACATTCTGCACTATGGTTGCAAGTGCTATTAGATCTGTATGTGAGAAAGAGGAGAATATTACAGACAGAAAAGAAGAAAGCCAAATGCTTGCATAGTATGAAATGTTATGGAAGTTCAACTGTTGTCCCCATTTTCAATAAGTTAAATGAATATCACTTAAAACATCACACAGATTAAAGACATCTGTATATATTTCAGATTTCAATATTAATGCCAAAAATACATAGTATGATTTTTACATAGGATTTATGCTACATTAGAACACTAAAGACAAACATCACTTGAGTATTAAATGAAACATTAAATATTAAATAACTGAAAAATAAAATAAAAAGTGTAAACACTAAACTAAGTTGGGAATTTGCTATTGCAACACATCCAATGAAGTGGTTTAAACAGTACAAAAAGATTAGATTTAAGTATTTGCTTCCAGTCTACTTGGAATACACAAAGCTCATTCCAGAAACCTTTACAAAACTGGTCCAGGATCACAGCAGAACCTTGCTTCTCTTGCGCGCTACTTCTCATTCCTTTACAGATTTAACTTTATACTGCCCTCTATACCAATCTTTGCCTTTAAGGAGTAATCAACAGTAAAATGAATACTTTAGTTTGCCGTTATTTGCTAACATCTTGGTGAAAACTGAGGATTTGTTGGAGATTCAGTGTAAGATTTGAGTTCATATGCAGCGCCGCTATCAACTTCCATGGATTTCCGAGAGAACAGGAGCCTTACATCTCTATGGAGGTAGATCTTTCCAGATTTAGAACTCTGGAACCTGAAAAACATTTATCTGTATTATAAAACAGACACATAGAAAGAGACTCCTCTTTAAATACTACTAATTAGCACTAGATGAGTCCATTTAAGAAGGTCAGAAAGCATCTGAACATGAGAACAAAAAAAAAAAAATCCCGCAAAATAGAGATTTCTGACAGACGATGTCATAGGCATAGTATCAACACACAAATACAGGAAAGTTTGAAAACACAAATAACAGATGAGCCAGAAAGCTGCCGTTGATGGCAGAGAAAAGAAACTTTAAGTGATAAACATTATTGGAGAAATGACATATACAAGCACAAAAACACTATACTTTGTACAGGCCGCCAAAATACACTATGAACATCGTAAGCTACGGAAAAAAGATATAGCAGACAAACCATAAAATAAATATGACAAGACCTTTCTTTTGCAAGTGGAAGAGACTCATCAGTACAAGAGTAAATAAAAACTCATTATGACTATTATATGAATTCTAGATTATAAAATGCTGACAGATCAAAAAAATCAAAAAGCAACTAATAAATGAGCAGTAACAGGTGCCGTAGCTTCCACCTATAAATGTGTCATGAGTCACAACAGGAAAATATTCAAACGAAGTTTCTCAACACCCTGAAGAATCACTACTTCAAACAACTAGTTTCAAGTTTACCCCCAATCTAGTCTTCAGTAGCATTTAGTTAATGAAAAAATGCCACTGCTTAGCTGTTAAGCAACTGCAATTATAGCCCAATTATGCTCCATACTGGCAATATGCCTGTAATTAACACCATCTACTTTTAAAGGTTGAAAAATGGTGTGGGTAGATTAACTAGTTAACTGCCTATGTATTTTTTTGCAGATTTAATTACAATGCAAAAATCATTGCTTGATAGTTGAAAATGTTTCCCCCAAAAACGCATTTTCAAGACACTACTTAAACTGCAAGCACAACTTTTGATTTTGGTTCAGTAAAGAAAGCTTGGCTGTCAATGCAGGCTACGCTTGCTACCTCAATACTGTAGCTGTGAGTACAAATACCACCTAATAGCCTATCAAACAATTTCTCAAACACACAAAAATGTGTATGTAAAAACTACACAGGCAGTAAATCTGACTCTTTGTTTTGGTGTTTAGGAAAATCTCACTGGCAATGTTAAGTTCCAGACCTATGCAAGCATTTTTGCTGAATTACCACTTGAAAAAAGGCTTTCATAATGTGAGTGCTGACAGTGGTAATTAAGGCCTCACAAGCAGATGCTACCAAAATGCAGCTTACTGTTTGTGACTTCATTTGTTTTTTTAGCAAAATTCCAAACTAAGGTATTTCTTTTCAAAAACTACAGCAATGATAAACGAAAATCCACTTGCTTGAAGTAACCACAAAATCCTTAATAGTTTTTTATTTTTACACAGGAGTTTTCAGTAAAATTGTTTTGAAGAAACTCTGCCACTTTTAAAAATGAAAATTGTTAAAAATATAATTTTTGTATGTGAATAATAGGCTACCAAAAATGTATTAACTCTCTCAATTAAAATCAATCTTTAATAATGATAATACTAGAGAGAGAGCAGAATCTTCTGTAAAGTCTGAAGTTCTGTTCAATAACCCTCAGACAGATCAGCTTAAATTACTAGAATATTTCAAGCAGTTCTAGACTTTTCTGTTTAATCAGAATTGAAATGAAAAGACCCACTGCATGGGTTCATCTCTGAAGCAAAAATGTCAGCATAGCCTGAAGATTCTCACTTTTCAGGCTAAGCATTTAAGCATCCTAATCATGATACAGCTGGTTTTTCAGTCAGAAACAGGTACATTTTGAATTATATTTTACACATCAGAAATCCCTAAGTTGATCCCTACTGGAGGCCTGAATGTACTAAATGTAGAGGTATTTTAGGTATTTTAAAACTAAAAGCAGCAGAGCTCCTGCATTTGTATCTCACAACACGTATCACAAATAGGAAGCTCATAAAAGAAGACCTGTTATCCACCATAAAAAGTGATGGAGAAGAAAATAGGTTTGCCTTGAAACACAACTAAGTATTACGTCTCTCTAAAATGTACCTCTATAAACTACATTAAAGTACAGAAAGCAGAAACTAAGAGGGAACAGAAGTCTAACACATCATGTCTGTAAGTCAGGCACAGTTGGTCACAATTTTCCCCGCTCTACAGCTGATACCAGTCAGCAGTTCTTTGCACTATTACATGCAAATCAATATTACATGCAAACAGAGCCCTTTATTTGGGCTGCACATTCTTTTTCAGAATTGATTCTCTCAAGAAAAATTTTGGAAGCCAGTTAAGTGATAGGCAGCAAATCAGTGCATCCTAAAAGCTTGAAGTTGAATCTAGACTAAAATTCAGAATGAAAACACAGTTCAACAGCCTAATCATAGTGCTATTTTCACACTCTAGTAAAAGAAAGCACCCTTTTTATGACTGTCTAGATTTATTTAATGGGGTATCTTGATCTGAAATTACTGACATAGACAAAGTTGTGTTTGCAAAGCCTGCTTCGTAGAAGTGAATGCCATTAAACAGGAAAATAATAACCACTGAAAGCAATTCTACAACTAGTTAATGGAAAATTGGAAAGCTAAAAACATTTAATTTCTTCTCCTTCCTAGTTTTAGGATATCAACTGTTGTCAGGCTTTAAAGTGGTGCAATCAAATCATTATGTCTGCATTTATGTGGTCTGTTTACTACAATAATGCTGGCGAAAGTCTGCAAACTGCAGAAGAACTAAGTGTATCAATCGTTTCTCATTTGTTTCAAACTGCAGTCTCCAAAGCATCCAAATACTCCTAACACAGTGTTTGGTTTCTGGCAGCACTTTGTAAATCATTTAAGGAGGATTGTCATAATGTATTATAAAGGACTTATATTGCATCACTAAACAGATAATTTACATTTTTACCACTAAGCATTGCATTTTTAGGAGTCACTACTTTTCTCTTTAGAGCACATTCTGCTGCACAGGAAACATGCTATGGCACTGGCCACCATCTCTGCACTGAACCTTAATTTTGGCTTTTTCCCATACAACATTCACTCCTTCCTGTGACCCCCAAAAAAGTACACTGATCCAGTCAAAACTACATTTCTCTTGGTAAGAAATGAAGCAAGCTATACAAAAACTTCAGTGACAGAAGAGGACTTTATATTTTAACTTTGTTCCTCCTCGGCAGGGTCCAAATTATTTATTAACATGCCTTTCTCTACTATCCAGCTGGACGTCTAAGTCAAAAGCATTCTTTGTTAAAAATAAGCCTGTATATAAAGAGGCTGTTTGGCAAAGAAGAGGAAAGAGCGGTGCTTGGATTATTCCACCTCGCTCTGAGGAGCTTACCTCAGATGTATGAGGTAGCGTAGGAGCCTTTCTTCAGTCTGTGGAGTATTTTCATTATTGACAGTTCTCTTGATTTCTCGTCTCACAGGAACAGAAAACGTTCTTTGCCGTAGGAATGTTTGATGATTAGCTGGCATTTCTCTCAAGTCATAGATCACTACAAACATCTTCACCACAGTTTTGTTAGGGTTAAATAAGGTCTGAAAAGACAAACAGTTTAGAGTACAACAGTCTTTAGAGTTTGCAAACTAAAAAAACAGTCACCTACCAAAATAGTCAAAATTTCCAGACTGTCCCAGACTGCTCCATAGGGAAGTATTTACATAAAAAATGTACTAAAGATTTTTAACTGTTCAGCTATTACCCATTCCCATTTAAAAAAAAAAACACTAATCGTTATCTAATTTAAAACACTAGAATATGACTACTACTACTTGCTCGTACAGATTCCCATTTCAGTTTATTTCTTCAATCAGCTTTTTGTCCATATTATTGTCTAGACACACAATAGGTGTACAGGAATCACAATGGCTTGGCTTCACATTTGAACACACTTTGCTTTTGTATATGAAATTAGCAGTTTGCAGTTTTGAACTGGATTCTTTAAAGAACTAGAGTATTGATTTCAAGAATTACTGTATTTTACTTCCTGATTTGAGTAGATGTTTTAAAATTATTTCTAACTGCTATAAATTACATAAAGCTGAATGTTTAATAAGAAAGTTGCCTATAGAAGAATTTCAGAATTTGGATGGTGACCTACTTCATTACTTCTTCAAAGCTATTCTGTCACCAACTACTAACTTGAATGTTCAACAAGTGATTTTTCAGCTTCCTCATGGTACAGATGTTTTCATGTTTAGAGCTATTTTTGTCCCACAAATTCCACGCAGATTTATACTTTGAAAAACTAGAATACCACAGTACCTACAGAGATTCACATTTCCAATGCTTCATGCCCCTCTGTAATAAACAATCTAATTTACTGTGCCTGAATTCCTTGATATTAGTGGTTTTAATGCACTCAAATCTACCAAGTACCTACCACTTGTATTGTTCCTGAAGGCGGTACCCGATAACCCCTTTTACCAAGGGACTCTAAAGTAATAACACCCTAAAAAAAAAAGCAAAACTTTAGTTCAAGTCAGGATATTAACAAATGAAAATACTCTTGTGTAATTATACTTATTCTAAAAACAATAAATAGATACATTGGCAGATCATTAAAAACTGTGCAAGGAGGGGAACATTCTCCTCTTGAAACAATATCCAAGCTTCCGCATCTTCAGACTCGTAGTCTGGCAGACACAGCGAAATAAGGCTTTCTTCTTAAAATGAAACATTTGTACCTTTCTTCCCATTTTCAGATGGCCTTTAATTGCACCAATTATACTCCAAACCTTGCAGAACTTAATTTCTACTTTTCAAAGGCTGCAGACGCACCTGAACTTCCACCGTAATTCAACACTTGGCAGTACCGTAATTCACTCCTGCACCGTCCGGGACATATCGGACACCTGACTCGCCCACGTACCATGAACCGGGCACCTCGCTCTGCCCTGGCACTGCTCGGCAGAGCACACGCTTGATTTACTGCAGTGCACAACTGAAGAGGACATGCAAAAAACTCCCCCAAGCCCAGAGCACAGAAACGAGCTATACAAACAGAAACAATGTTTCTGATGATGGAGGCACTATATAAATGTTATATTAATCCTATAAGACTCAACCATAATAGCATGTTTACAGCATGTGGAAAAGAATGAAACAATGACATCCAGCTAGTAAAATAAGCAATGCTACTTTAACCGTTTATGGAACAAATTACTTCAGGACCTGGAAGAACATGTGAAAAGCTGGAAAGATTAAAGCAAAGAATAGATATTTCTTTTACAAGATTAAACTGTATTAACCAAACTTAATTTTTGCAAAGCCATTTAATTTGATTTTCTAGACACTTTCAAAAGTAGATGGTCAAAAATATGGTAATGTGCCTTGGATTCTAAATATCAAGATGATAGTATGTCAATACTTCACTTGCATGTTTAAACAGACCATTTACCATATCAGACACAGACACACATACTAAAACCTCTCTTAAAATTAGATCTGTCACCCATGACATGACTGAATAGGAACTTAAAACAAGTCTATTTGACTGATTCAATGTTGGCATACAACACATCTTTTCGTTTCTTGCAAGGGAGCACTTTAGGCATCCACCAAAAAAAAATGTCATTACAGAAAAGCAGAACAGGCTTAATACATGAATATTAACAACACAAGTACTGTGTCACTATTAAACATCAGCAAACTAAACAGCTGGTGAGAATGATTTGCGTCACACTAATTCAGATAGCATTTGCTTAGAAAGAAAGGGTTAAACAACTTTTGAGTTGCAGCTCTCTCCATCAGCAGTTGTAAAGACCTAAACCTAAACCACCCGCTGGCTGTCAGTGACAGCCTGGCATCAGTAGGATATAGACAAAGTTAAGCACACCTATTGCCTCACTGCCTATTTTAGGTAAGTTGGATAAAAGGACACAGCAGGGCCTGATCCCTCAAGTGTGGAGGGAGACAAATATGTTCACTATCCCAAGATGAGAGCTGGATGGCGGAGCAGAGAAACAGGAGAAGGAATAATAGTTTGGGAAAGGGAACAGAGGGAGGAGGATGAGAAGTCCAATTGAAGGCAGCTGAAAATACCCCAAACCCCTCCAAAGCGCCACTTCCTGAACTCCATACTCACCTAGCTCTTGTTCTTCATGTCCATCCGTCAGAATTTAATTCCCCGCACTCTGAAGCCAACTCTGTCTCCAAGTAAAACTTGGGGGGTTTGCAGCCTCAAAGGATGAAGGTAAAAATATCCTTATTCTTGATTTTCACTGCCCTCAATTTTACCAGTTTTGCTGAGAAACTCTGAACTACCTTGGGATTGTTTGCATATGTTAATAAGCTGAGTATAAAACACCTGTGCAAAAACTAGGGTTATGTACTTTAATACAATAATTAAACTTAAATTAGAAAAGTTCACCTCAGTTAGAAAAGTTCACCCGTCTACAAGCTGTCATCAGGTTTGTTCCAGCCTAGTCTTCCAGGAAAAAAGTGACTATTATATTTGGCCCTCAAATGCTACTTTGAACGCTACTGGGATTGAAAAGAGGAAAAATAAATTCAACCATAAAATTACCATGTAAGGAGAGGGTGCATTATCATCTGAAACGCTGTAGAATGACACTTCAACTGGAAGAGTCATATGAGTAGGACAAAAGACTCCACTTGCTCCCACTTCCGCTGTGAAACCATCAACAACACCTAGTGGGTCTAAGCGGAAATTCAAGACAGACTCCTGGAAAATGAAAACGTACACAGTTTAGGTTGGGAGTGACTCACATAATCTAACAAAACTAAACAGCAAATAAGCACTTCATGTAAGAACTTGAACCTTACAGACTCAAGAAGTTTATTTTACAGAAACTAAAACAAGTTTTATTGAATTCTGTTATGAACATCACAATCAGACAGGAATTATCCACATTAATGCACTTTAAAAGGCAGAACAGAAGAATAATAAAATACCACAAGACTTATAGAGAATATGCAGTACCTCAAAGTTTCCCAGAAGGCTAAGACTTGTTACTGGTGGAGCACTAGAACTCAGAAATGGTTTCCCATGGCTGTCTGGATCACTGTCTCTGTTTATACATTGTTGAGGGCTATTTAAAAAGAAGACAGAATAAAGTACAAACACAATCTGCTTTTGTTTTCTGGGCATACACAACTCTAGAATGCCACAGTAACCTCCCATCCACGCAGCAGGCTCTCAGATATAAGGAGATTTCAGCATTCATCTCAAAAGAGCAGGGAGATTAGCCATCCCCAGCCTGTGCTGGAGCCACCTAAGCATTTTTTCACTGCTGACAACATAAAGCAGACAAATTCTGCTTGGCCAGCTGAGACTCTGAAATGACTTCATGTTGGAGAGAAATAAAATAACCAGTGTGGACATTTGTTTTCATATTTGATTTTTATGACAATTTAAAAAGATAGAAACCATACCAAAAACAAGATTGTCTGTTTTTGTTGTACACTGTCGGATGGTGATGTAGATTTAATGGATGTAAAAAAAAAAAAAATACAGATCACTAAGGAAAATATGCCAAACTAATGTGCCTTTGGGTGGGGGGGGGGGCTAAACTCTAGTGTCTGCCCAATTGCAGCAAAATTTAAAAGTAATTATTGGAAAATAAGGATTATTTTGAAAAGCACCCCATGTTCTGTCTCTGTTAACTTGCTTTATTGCTGCATACAACTATGCATACACATTTTATCTCTAAAAAAATTCTCAAAGTTTCTCATAATTAAAATGTACCTTCTTGCAGACAAACACTTCAGCCGTAGCAATGATGAGTCCAGATCAAAGCATCCAGACTGTGTTTTTCTTTGAGGAACCTCAAGAAGAAAAGAGCACATTAACTTGAACATATCTCTATCGAAGGCACTAGTCTGAATTTGGCAAGAATTTTAATGGCATTACAAAATTACAAAAGCAAGGCAGAAAAGTAATTTTAATTAATTTTTACATATTCTGAACTTAATGAAGAAAATTCTTGGATTATTTAACATCAGTACTGTAAATTCTAATTACGAGGGACTACTTACAAACACTAAAACTGAAATCTGCTCAACAGACAGTAAACAGTTAGAAGTTTAGAAGAATACAAAATTTGAACAACAAATACTAATTCTACTCCCCAAAATCAGTCTCATCCATTTAAGAAACTGTACATCTCTTTGGGATGACACAGAATATTAAATATAAGTTGTATCAATTTCTATCAGAAACCTCCAAAAACATGACACGCTTTACAAATGCACCAAATAATAAAATACTTATGTTGGTTACTGAATATCAGTTGCTACTTCTGCATTCTTAATTGGGACTGCCTTTTGTTCCAGAAGTCCCAAATAACATACCAAAAACTGTTCTTTCCCCAGGTGTGGCCATCTTGTCATAGCAGTTTTATATTACCTTATCAGTCAATTACAACTCCGATTACTGAAGAATATACCGTACAAACGGTTTATAGAAACAAAAAGCTTTAGAATATCAGGCCGGCAAGTATTAATAACTCTGTTTTAAATGATAATATATGATAGCTCATACTTAAAACATCAAGCTTCAAAACCCTCTCATGCTCTAAAACACCACCAAAGCATTTTTGCTATAGAACTTCCTAATATCAACTTTTGTTATTCATCAGCAACTAGCTCTCTAATATTTTAATTCCTACAATTATCATTCAACTTCGTTTGAGTATTGACTCTCAAATTTCTACTAGCAAGAGTATTCATTCTATGATACTAAAAGCAAATATAAACAATTCACCCAAATATTTGATCAAGTTTTCTTAATACACAGGTATTAAAAGAGTAAAATATTTTCTTTCTCATTTAAAAGTTAATTTCAGTAACTGCTTACAGGACTTGAAAGTAGAGGCAATCCAGTTCTGGGATGAAAAGCCTTTGTCGAAGTCCCATCCAAGGATCGAAAATTGTGTTTCCGACATGTATTTGTGTTTCTGAGAGATGGTGTTTTCTGTGAGCAAAACAAATTTACTTAATGGGACATTTCAAGGGCCTATCAGGCTAATACCTGGCTTGCTTTAGCAGAAAAGAAAGACTTCTGAACCAGATGAATCCGCATCACATTTAATAAAATATTCTGAAGAAGTCTCCTTTTGACTCTGTGTACAATTACTCAAGATTGTTCACTTTTTAATCACCACATACCACATGCAGACAGTGGTATATTTATAAAGAGCAGGATGTATAATTACCTCTGGAAACTGTCATTAATAATGCAATTACAGGAAGTAGAATGAGACAATGTGCTTCTAAGCGTTAAACATATAATTAGGAATGCGTGCATACAGATTGCTACAGGGACAAACTTCACTTCAACCTCAAAACAGACAACAGTGCCACACTGTCAGACAAAAACTTCCTCTTTACACTGGTTCCTAGCAGATCCTGCATACACTCACAAGTTACCTAATAGCAGCCAATGCATTTACCACTTTCAGTCATGTATTTACCTGCACATCTGGGTTCTTTAGCCGTTCGCACTTTGCTAAGCAGTCTTCTATAGATTTCTTCTGACAACTACTTTGGAAATCAAGGCCTACTGGGTCTTCATTCTCATCATGTGTAGTTTTTGTTTTATCCTGTTTGTTTCTGCTTTTGAAACTATCATGGTCTTTATTTAAATAATTTTCAATACTAATAAGTTGAGTATTTTGCTCATAAATATTTGATTTTTTCGAGTCTCTGTCTAAACATTTGAGTTCATTTTTGTGCAAAAAATCAGATGCCTGCATCACAGTTGCTTTTTTTGTACCTTCAAGTATTCTGCATTTATCTATCTGTAAATTGTTAAAACTGTCCGTGTTGCTGTTTTCACTAACGACTGCTCTTTCTTTAAGTTTATTTGTGCAAATCTGTTCATCAATGCTGCAGAAATTCGAACATTGTTTAATTCTACTGGATATTTGGTCTTTCTGTGCATAAACAGAATGTATCATTTCCAATCTATCTGGCAATTCAGATTTGTTTTCTTTAACACAAGATGATGATGCATGCATGTTAATAAACGAATGAGAAGTTTTATTTGAAGTCTGATGAAATGCATTTTGGACAGCTTCACTAGGTTTTTCTAAAAGCAATTTTCTTCTTGCTTGGAGTTTCTGAGAAGCCTTCAACTCACCATCAAGTCTAGAAGGACTAACAGGAGTATCAAGTGTTTTCAGCCTTGATTTACTGTTATCTTCTATCAAAGAAAAATCGGTTTTAGCAAAAGAAACAGATGACTTTTCCTTGCCTTTCTTCAGCAAATTTTCATCTTCGTATGTACTTCGGAAAATTTTTGGAGAAACTGGGCTAGTTTCCTGTACTTTGAATGGATGCCCAGCAAGATGAGAAGTAGCTGGATCACAATGAATGAGGTGCTGGGCAATCCTTGCTATCACTTCTTGCCGCTCCTGAAGCAGGGAATCTATCAAAGGATTGCCCTCTCCTACAGCCTGACGGCCACAGTGGCTCACTGGAATATGAGGATCAACCAGCGTCATCTCCGGTATTGCTCTGGTTTTGCCTTCACCATCATCTGGTATTGCATTATCTAAGTTGGCCACAGGAACAGAGGAGGTTTCCTTGCCTTTCCTTGGCAAGTTCTCATCTTCATAAGTACTCCGAAAAGCTTTTGATGCAGCTGAAGTGGTTTCATGTAGGCTGAATGGATGTCCATTAACTTGAGAAGTAGTTGGATCACAGTGAATCAAGTGCTGAGCAATTCTTGCTATGACTTCTTGTCGCTCCTGAAGTAAAGAGCCTATCAGAGGATTGGTTTCTCCTGTGGACTGACGAGAACACTGACTATTTGAAACACAGGAATCAACCAAGGAAAAGGATTTAAAAGTTCTCACAGATGTTTCATGAGCTTGTATCTTGCCGTCTCCCGTAGCATTATAGCACTGAACTTTAGACTGTGATGCTCCAAAGTCAGATCCAAGACCAGTAGGTGGATAAAGTTTTAAATTTCTGATAGACGTAGTAAATTCCGGTGACTTTTTTACATTAAGCAGGCCCTCGGGTGTCATTGCCCACGTTTGTTTCCCGCACGCGCGCTGCAAACTAGATGTACTGCATTGTTCTACTGCAACGGAATCACTGCGCTGATGTAATTTGTGCTCTTGCATCCTCTTCTCATAAAAACTTAGGTTGGTGTGAATACTACATGTCAAAACCGGATAGTTAGATTGTCTAGGCAAGGACTGGACGCTGACTTTCAAGGCCACATTGTGAGAAACATTAGGAACAGGAAATATGTGTTCAGTTGGTGTCTGGGAGAATGTCCATTGCAGGTCTACATCTGCAGCACTTACTCTGAAACAACAGAAGGGTGCTTTTACAAAAATATCTAAATAAAAAGTCTTTATCAATCTACTTCATATCACCAAATTCTAAGACAAAGCATTAAAGACACCAGCAACTCTCATACTTTGCAAAGTAAATGAACTACATATAACCATCAGAACATGCAGCCCAACAACATACATCTTCTAAAAGCAAACAGGAAAACAGGTGGAAAAAAATAAGACAAGCTGCAAAAAACCTGAAGACAGTAAACAATTTTTTCTGTCTCAGACCTACCTGTACAGAATGTTACGAGGAACAGCACCGTGTGAAACACTTAGCCAAGCGCTTAACTGAGAGAAGAAAACGAAGGACCGAACAGCCAGTAAAAGGGTCTTCTCTTCAATAAATCGATCTCCACTTCTAAAATACATCAGAAGAAACAAGTAGATGTTGGTAAAAATATTCACAGAGAATTAAATCTAATAAGATCAAACATTCTTTCATGACAGGATCTGATGCTGTCCTTGTTTCTTTTTCTACTTGCCTCCTCAGTTTTGACTGATAAATAGCCATTTTCTTAGATCAATCGAAATGGTGAGGAACCAATTTAAAAACACTAACAAGCTAGTTTAAGAAGTTCAAAATGGTGAGATTCTTGCAACCATCAAGTAATCACAATATCCAACTTACTGTCGAGGAACTGGTTCCAAAATCCACCTTTCTAACAACAACGCATCTTGTTTGATTGCAGGATCATTTAAATCATTCCCCTCAGTGTTAGGCCCTTCATCACTATAGCAACAGTCTGGAAGTAGCATCACTTCTACCATGATTGGAATATTGTTTTTCCACAGTAGCATAACCTCAGATCTGGTTCGCCTAGCTTGACGGCACTGAGGGAAAGAAAACATGTCAACACATGCAAGCCATAAAATTACTAGCTAGATTCAAGTCTATTTTTAAAAATATGTCTTGAAGATTTGGAAAAGGGAAAGGGTCAAATCTTGTAGACAATGTTTTACCAAATCACAGATAAGATCCAGGGGATACCAAATGATAAATAATTAACAAATCCATTATGGTTGCAATTTGGGCAACTTCTGTGCAGACTAAGAATTGATATAAAACATTTCCCCAGTCATCACCCTTTTCTGCTTGAACAGCAACTTAAATTCCCACAGCACTTAGAATCTTTTCCTTGATGCTGGACACTCCAACCTTACTCCAAAACACTTGACTTGAATTTGATCATATTTCTGATTTTGGATCTAAACTTTCAATTACTGAACTTTTCAAGACTACCTAGAAAAGCAAAAAGTGTTAAGACAGCCTACACTTAAAAGAAAAAAAAAAAGAAAGAAAAAAAAAGGACTAAGTATAGTGCTTGAAATTTTGCATAATAAAGATTCAAATGGGTACTGTATTTAGACAGTCTTACAGAAGTTTATATTCAAGGATAAAAGTCTTAATGATCTCTCATTTTAAGGAGATCTATTATTAGTACTGTAGTGAGCTACATACTTGTTTAAACACAGAAATGACAAAGTAATTGTTATTCAGTGCTTAACCGTGAGTTTGCTAGGGAGTTTCTCAGCTGATCTTAATCACGATAGCAGGGAGGTACTCCATGTTACTTATAATAATACAGATATCATCATCATACCTGAGCCAGTTTGTCGCTGCATTCATGCTTAGATGTTGGTGGCTGACTTGATTGTGCTGGAGGGCAATGAAAACCCTCCGTTCTACCCTTTATAGAATGTTCGGGTGTTCGACCTTCAGTAATCAGCAAGGCCAAGGAGACCAGGAACTCCTCAGCTTCGTATTCAAAGTATTCATCTAAAGTATCTGTCATTTCAAAAAGACAAAAAAATAATGACCTATGCCATATAACAATGCTGCATAACAAGTAATTAACTGTTGGCTGTCTCTGCATTTCATTTTAATTTATACTTGAAACACTGACTAGGTAAAATGGATGCTCGTATCAGATGACTGCACTCTACAGGACTCAAATTATTCTACCATCATAATATTTATCTTTGTTAATTTCATACAAGAAGACAAAGTTTGAAACACTCTAATGAAAACACCCCATGTCGTATCTGCTCAACTACACAACTTCGGTGCTGTTAATAAATAATTGTTTGCGTTGTTAACCACAGCTGAATTCCAGCTTAAAAAAAAAAAAAAAAAAAAAAAAAAAAAAAAAAAAGAAAAAAAATGCGTGGATTTTAGTGGAGGAAGGCTAATGGCAGCATGACTTGACATCATTAATGTCATGTGACAGAAATAAAGAGAAGTCACAATACATAACATAAGGCATTTAAAACTGAATAGGAAAAAAAATAGAAGAGTTACTTATACAAGGAAAAGTGGGACGCAATGTTCTTTAGGATCTGTATTGTGAATTCCTCCTGCTCAGAGCAGCGGTTACTTAAGAGAGCTCCATTTTTAGTTAACATTACCAGTGTTCACAGAGAAAAGGTTCACGAGGAACATACAGACTATCCACTGTTCTGTACAATGTTCCGTGCTAACTAGCGCAAAGAATTAAAACTCAACCAGTCTCAGTAGAGAAGCAGCAGCTGGCCTTGCTCTCTGCTGATTGCCCCAACACACTCCATTCCAGCAGGATACAACTCTCCCCTTGCCCTGTGGCACTTTGGAGAGTCTCCTGCTCCCTTGTCATGAGGATGTCACACATCGTTCACACAGATCCCTGCGTAACCAGATCATATCAGGCCTTCTGTGCTTGCATATATTGAAGTATCAAAATGATTTAGTTACTCAAGAGTTTTTTTTTAAAAAAAAAAAAAAACACTTCCCTTCCTATAAAGCTAAATATATTCAAAGCGTCCTGTAAAAGCAGTGAAGAAAAGGAGGTAGATGCAAGCCTGGCAGGGAAGCTTTATATCTGTGTCGTTATGCTTCAGTGGAACGAAAACACAGAACCTCCTCATAACTGTAGCTTAAGTTTCCTATGTTATCCATCACAATAGAAGTACCAATAGGCACAGAATTAATTTCTATTCATGGCTATTTTGATTACCATGCATAAAACACCTTTCTATTCAGAAGATTTTTTTGTCTACATTCCATAGAACCACACCATTTAACAAACATGGTAAGAGACAGACTTGAGAGATCTATGTACAAAGCAACGATGCATTCAACAAAAATTCCAATTAAGCGTGCAATTATCTGCTTATGCAAGTTGTAAAGTGTGCAAAAGCAGCATTTGCACGTACCTACTTGCCTAGCCCAGGCTTGCACATCCTGGCCCCCAGGCCTGCTAGACTATTTGGAGAGCTGCGTGAGGTTAAGCAGCAAAGTGAGCCTACTATCAGAAGGCTCAGTTTGCTATACAGGAGCCTACATCTTTACGCATTTTTCCCCCCACATTCTTAGCTGGGGGGATCCTAAGGAACACACATTTCCTAAAGGCAGGTGCCGGAGATGAGAGCAGGGCTCGGGACGCTCACGCGGAGCAGGCACGCGACCTGAGTGACCTACGCGCTCCTGCTGGCGGCAGGAAGAGGTTATAACCCAACCTCCTTCCCATGCATCACCGCGCCCACCGCACGTGCGCGGCCCACATGACGCTTGGGAACACCGCCGCACGTCCCGCACAGCCCAGGCCTCTGACCGCTGCCGGCTGCCGCACCGCCCCGATGGGGCCTTTGGGGCACAGCGGCCCCCTCCCAGGGCCCTTCCCACAGGGGCAGGACGGACTGGCCTGTCTGCAGCGCTGCCCACGGAGCAGCGAGGGGCACGAGGCCTCCGAGAGCAGCCAGCTGCTGCCAAGCACCTCATCTGGCCACGGGCTGCAGGAGAGCCGGGGCAGGCCACGGCAGCGATGAATTACCCTGGAGGGCCCCATATGGCACATGAACTATATGTTAAATCATCTGGCACGAGTTAAAATGGCCATTCGTCTGACAGATGACAGAAAATTACCAATAAAGCGTGCCTGAAAGATTAAAGGAACAGTAAATAACAAAGAGGACACGCCACCTGTGTAGCCATACGAGTCACCTACAAAATTAGGCACCTGCATTATATATATTTTTTTCCAGCTAAAAGGCTGGTCAACAATAGGGAAGACATAATTGTAGAATAGGGAAATAAGAGGTGAAAAAACTCAGAAAATGATTTAGATACTACAACTGACAAAAATAATGTGCAGTATTATCCTGCTGCCAATACAAGCATCATGCTCATCCTTGAGTGTCCAAAGGTCAGGGCTGCTTTAATAAAGGAAGTCACACTGGCAAAGATCACTATTGAAATACTTGGACTCTGATGTAGGACTTGAAAAAATCTAGGAAGCGTTCGGCAAGAGTTACAAGAATTTAAACAAGAATTGCCTCAGGATTATCAGACTATGCAGAAGGGGAAAGGAGACACTCACCTTTAGAAAGTGTTTTAGAAACTCTGTTTAGTTAAAATATGAAAAAAAAACAACCTCCAGTTTTCAAGAAAAAGGTAAAGAGCTTTGATCAAGATCTGCAAGTGCTTACGCAAACAGATCATATCTAAGGCAAACATTTTCTTACTGCAACAGAAAAGTGCAGATTAAGAGGTGATACCTGAGAATTTACACTAGAAAAGAAAGCAAATGGCAAGCAACAGTAAAACAGACATGACCTTTACCTAACATCAACTTACAACACAAAGCTATCTTTTATACAAGGAATCTATATTTGATCAGAAGCTTTTGGCCTTGACATAAATTAATAAATGCAATCTACTACCTGAGTGGTTATGTATAGCTAGTTAGGTTCAATTAAAAGAAGAAAGGGGAGAAAAGGAAAGCCAAAGAGAGAGAGAGAGAGAGAGAGAGAAGATTCTCTCTCTTTGCATTACAAATACTACAAAATTTATATTGCATGCTTGAAATATTAATCTTTTTCACAGGTATTCTGTACCAAAAACTGACTTCATGAACTTCATGGATGAGCAACATCCAAATAATGAGTAAGGAAAGTAAAAAAAAAAATCACTACTTAAGATACAGAATGCATAAGTGATAGTAATTTTTAGAAACAGTTAAAATTTGTTTAAAGTTTAACTTGCAAACACTGCCTAACCTTCTGTATAGATCATCCCTTATGCTCTATTTTTATTTCATAAATCTTAAGGTTAGCATTAAGGGAAGCACTATTTCAAAAGTAAACAACTTCTCATCTCAAAGATGGAAAAGAAGATTCAAACAGCTGGAAATACATATTTGTATTGGCTGCAGTTAAAAATATGATGTCATTTCAAAATTAAAACGGCATCCCAGTTTGAGAAACACTAAGTATTAAACTAGAAAATACTACTGCTTTCCTAACAGCATTACGAAGACAGGGACAACAACTTAAAATTATGTCAATGTAACAAGCACAACATTTGATTTTTTATTATTATTATTTTTAAAGTACAAAAAGCAATCAGTACTAAGAAATAGGTTTTTATATAAGGTTCATGTTCACTATTTTTTTTTTTTTTAGCTCCACTTGATGTGTATAATATATAGCAACCTTTAGGTTTTTATAGAGGAAAATATTGTTAAGTACTGAGAAGTCTGGCAATTGTTCCTAAGACACAACAGACAAAATAGGCAGATGATGCAAGTTGAAGTCATTGAGGACAAGGGTGGGAAGACATTTATAGACACAGCAAACTCAGTGTTTAGTTAGAAAGAAAAGTCTGTTAGCCTGTGTGTGTGCTGTAATAATTTGCTTTTGTGTAGGAGTCGATCATGTTTAAGGCACCCATCGTATACTGTGCATAAAATAATACTATAATCTGACTAAACACATATGATTATTACTCTTTTTCAACTGAACATGCAAGTATATAAAACTAAAATATATATATTCCAGCAACAGGATGTATAGAAACTACAGTAATTACTATCTTTATTCAATAAATTGAAAGTAATGATTATTGACCAACTGATTACAAGAGGTAGAGGCAGATGATAAAGTATTTTAAGAGGGAGAAACTATGATTTAGTTTCATTACCTTACTATTCCAAAAAGTAAGTTAAAGGTAGTTCTAGTTTTAAAAACTATGGCAAGGATTGAAGAAACTACAATAAAGAAACAAAGCACAATGTAAACATTTGACTAACAGCTTCTCTTTTGGAATTAGAAACATCTATAGATGCTCCAGTTCACTAATCCCATGTTGTGCTTCACTTCAAAGAAAGTTGCCCTTGTACCTCAGGAATTCCTGATTTTCTAAATGAACAGTCACGTTGTGTCTGCATCTTACAAACCTGTAATTATATCTGAAGTCACACAGTTCAAAAGCCTTACAGGATGAAGAACTGAAGCACAACTTAAGCTATCAAGAGCCAAAGTTATGAGCTATACTCCTTCACTCAAGAAACTAGCTATTAGTTAAGTTTACGTGTAATCAAGCAAATGTAACGCACTTTTCACCATAGCTTCTTCACCATAGTTTAGGAGCAATCACCATAGCTTAGGAGTAATTCCTACATGGATTTTGCTCACACTGACCCTTGTCTTGGATTGCCAGACATTCGTAACCTTGGGAACCATGATAACCATTATGAAAATGTCGGCCGAAGTCCATTACCTCATCCTACTCTTACCGACCTCTTATACTTTTTAGGGTATTGAACTGAACCACTACCCATAACAACAGTCCAGCTGCTGGCAGGACATGATGACAGAGGAGTACTTAATTAGGGCTGATACATATCTGCTATTGTTAGAAGAAAACTAATTATAAGCTAAAAAAGTGTGGGACCTACTTAGCTCTGCATAGCAGAATCAGAAGAAATTCAAATTAAAGCAGTTCATAATTAGAAAAACAGAATGAAACACAAT